CTCCGCCCTCCACGCGCTACGAAAATACACGAAATCTAAAAGTGGAGAGGAGGATGGCCGTGTCAGCTATCAGCTTCATGCACAGCCCACCCGTAGGTGTTGGTGTTAGCTTCTTTTCTCTTGGGGGGGGGGGGGGGGGGGGGGGTGGAGTGGATGACGGAGACGGGGAGAGGGCTAGAGAAAAAGACGAGCGCCGAGTTTTCTTCTTTTTTTTTTTCCTAAAACAATGCCTCACTGGACACTTTCTAGGATAGTGAAAAACTGCAATTTCCAAGCCAAAAATATGAGTCTGGTACGAATAGGGGATTTTGAGTTCGAAGCGAATAGTACGGTTTTGGCCGAATATTTTCGATTCGAATATCGAATAGTTTTTCCGCGCCTTCCACTACCACTGAGGCAGCAGTTTGGGCCAGTCGGTTCATGATCACCTAAAAAAGCGCCAGAAAAACACAAGGACGAGGAAGTAGACAGAGCGCTCTTGTCTGTCTAACTCCTCGTCCTTGTGTTCTTGGGTGCTTTCATTACCACTGCATAATGCTTAGATGAAAACCGAGCGAAACCTTTGAAGGTTGTCTCACTTGTTCATTTATAAGCCAAGTTAAATCTATCTATATTTATGAACTGTCACCTTAGAATGTATGGTGTCTGGGGGTGGCAAGTAAACAACGGATTTGTCATAAAATGAATATTATAAAAATTGCCAACTATACCCAATTGAGTGAATTTACAAATATTACTCTGTAAAATATTGTTTCTTTCATCTCGAGTTAAAAAAAAAAAATAATCGCGCATTATGAACGCAGGTTGTAAGGGCATCGATGCCTAACATAGTGTACTTTTGCATAAAAGTTTAATTTTGAAACTTTTACTACATCGTAGATATACAGATTCACAAAGTTTCTATTTATTTTCAAATACAGTCGGCACGGGTGCACCATCCCGCTCTGAATTTATGCTTTTGTTTCAAGCACGCAATTCGATATTCACTTTTTCAAATGTGTATCCCGGCGGGTTACCCTGTTGAGTGCGCTTCTTACCGAGCACCGATGTAATGCAGAGAAGAAACCCACAGAGCTCGCTTTCGCAGGCATGGCTTCTCCGCAGCGCACCAGTGCTTGATAAGAAGCGCACTCAACGGGACTGACCCGGCGCAATCAACACTTCGAAAAACGCGAATAGTGCAGTTTTTCTTGAAGCGAATATCGAATAGTGTATCATTCGGAACTGCTATTCGAAATTTCGAATATTCGCACAACGCTAAAAAATATTTGTCTATTATGTACATACCGGACGTAAATTACAGCTTCAGAAGAAGCGCTCCCGCCTGAAAAATGTATCAGAACTTTGGAGATGCAGAACCGTTGGTGACGCTCGACCATGTGTAGCCGAAAACAGTCATTTGTTTTGCGAAATTTTTTACTCGTAAAAGAAAAAAAAAAACAAAAAAAAACGTTGTAGTAATTTTATTGGCTTGTGTGGGGTGCACCAAGAAGAAAACAACTATTTGGGTTGGTTGAGATGACACTGCGTGACGATTTAACTCTTTCCAATACAAAATGCGCTGTTCTGAGGCATTATCTATCGTTTCACAATACGACTTTAACCTTTACTTTCGAGTTGATCTTAGTGCCCGCGCTCACTTAGTCTTGTACACGCGTTTCAAAGTGGCGCGACACCACCCACCATTTCTTCCGAGAACATAAATCTCCAGCAACCTAAAATTAAGTTCTGGGTTTCCTTCCAGACAAGATGAACACCACCGCATAAATCTAAAACGAAAGGTTTCCGATGCTTTGAAACTTTATATCTGTGCCTTCCTCTTTCCGTTGTCTTTATCCGTTCGAAGACGGTAGCCGGTTGACCGACCCTTCTCGAACCATCGGTCATAGCGGCATGATGTGCCAGGGTTCCTCACACGCCCAACTATGAATAACTTTGCACGTTTGCCAAAGAGAGCTGAAGCAAATCCACCGATGCCGCCGACAAAACCAGCAGGACCTTCCTGCCTACGCACGGACTTCCCACCTTTCGCAGCGGGTGATGAGAAAAAAGAAAAAAAAAAGGAAGAAAGAAAAAACGCCGCTGCTGAGCGTCTGGCGTAGCTCTTCCTAGTTTTGACAGCACTAAACGGGAGTCTAACAAATTGCACGCACGAGCATACAAACGCGCTGGTACAAATTACGAAGGCGATATACGAGAGCCGGGAACACGTTCTTTCGAACGTCAGACGTTCAATCTCTCGGGGTCTAGAAATGGAACGCTTTTCGAAAAACGTGCGCTCTGAGAGTTGACGCGTTTTCCGAGCGAAATTCAACCTTGAAGAAGCCGTTGGAAATAGTGGACGATGGAATGGTGTTCGTTACATTTCGAGCGCGCTAAATTTGGGTTTAGGTTCCATCATTTTTTTCTATGGGTCTAATTTGGGTCTCACAGTCTGGGGTGAAGTTAAGGAGAAAAATGTTAATGTAACTTGACTTTGCTCGGATTTGGGTAGAAATGTTTGGCTCGCTTCTCTGGCATCCAACGACTTTTTTTCTCATCATAAGTACGCATTGGCATAATTTGAAGAAATCGCTACATTAAATGAGAAAGAAAATGTACTGAAAACGAATAACCCCGCATAAATTACTTCTTTAAAACTACAACCAATTGTCACAATTTTTTTTTTTTTAATTAGACAAGTGAACAACGTCCGTGGTCCTTCTAAACTACACGCCGATGATATATTCTATATTTACGCATGTTAATATGTGCTTACTTGCCATGGTATTAAATTTACATTTAATAGTAATATAAAAGCATATACTCAATAAAAAAAAAACAGAGGCATAAAGTTTATTTATACCTCTGAGCTCCCATCATCTTTCTTCTTGCTTTGAATCAAAATCGCACGCTGAAGTTTTATACCATATGTTCTACTATAATTCAGCTCAAGAATGTTTTCGGCTTCGAATCTTCTCGGAGCTACGATATTTCCTAACCGTGTTCTTTTTTTCTTTCGTTTACAGAAATACCCCCCAATGACCAATCACCGAACGTAAGTACGTGTCTTTCATTCCCTAAATCTATTCAAATAAAACTGTAGTTAGGAAAAACCGACGCACCAACTTGGAGTTCTGAAGTTCGCACTTCGATTTCTGTTCGCTGTTTACCCAACAACATTTGCTGTCACTGAACGTTTTAATGCTTTGCCACTTGCTTAGGTCTTTAGACAAACTCCGACATTTCGAGAAGTGGAAAAGACGCTTTGAACCTGAACGCCTTTTCTTCTTGCTCTCGTGTCCATGCCTGTGACAGGAGTTTAAACATTTCTTTCCTTCTATTTCGGTGGCATTGCGCCGGTTTCTGGCTGACTTCAAAATGAAAAGGCATTCAACGACACACAAGAAAAGCCATTTCCGCGCGGAACTGCCCTGACATTCGCACTTTTACGTATAGGCGTTTGTGTTTCTGTCCGATTTAAAGCTTTTTTTCCGCTCTTCCCAAACATGCGCGCATTCTATTGGAAGCGTTTAACGGAACTTATTTTGATTGTTTCTTCAAAAGTGTGCGCGGAGGTTTGTTTACTTAAATTCAGCTTCTTTCTCCAGGCAGCTTTTACGAGCCTGGAACAGACAACAAGCATAGTATTCGTGTAAATCGCAGTCGAACGGACAGGGTTTTTTTGGGTAGACGTCGTGTGACATTCGTTTCTTCTTTTCCAAGTTTAAGCACGATGTTTAATGCTTGCTTGTTTAATTTCTTCTTTTTTTATTTTTTTATTTTTTTTTTTTTATTTACACTTGCATCTCAGACACTGAACGTCGTTCGCCGCCCCGTCTATGAGGTTTACGGGCCTGAACTTCCGTGCTACACGTGTCGTGTTCTTTCTAAGAATCGAAAGATTTAGAACGAAGGCTACAGACGTCTCCAACTTATTCTCCGGTCTTGTCAAAGCGTTCTAAAGCTTTTAAGAACATATTAAGCCCAGACGTGAACTGACAGCAGGAAGGTTGGAACTGCGACGCACTTTTGTACTCTGCCATTTTTTACGTGTCTATACCTTAGTCAGACTCAATTGTAAACTATCGTATAGGCATTCAACGAAAGAGCATAAGTGCTCCGCTCAATTCTGTTAGGCAATGAGTTCTAAACGCTAATTAACAAACGATAATGAGCAAGTTACTGAAGGCTGTCTTTGCGTCGATACGCACGGCTGTTTTAATGAAGCCCATCACTTTATGGTTCGTTTCTTCATCCGCAGGGTGTGGGTGGAACGGACGAAATTTGTCCCGTGCTTGTTTTCTGATTATATCTGTCTTATCTAGTTATGAAACAGAGGGTTCGTAGTTTGTTCCGAATTACTGAACTAGGACATCGAAGCATGCTCACAATTAGAATTCGATTAGCTAATCAATTCACGTACAAGACTAACACAACAAAAGATTAGAAAAACGCAGATGCCGCTGTATAATGTAAAGTGTATTTTTTTAAAAATTAATATGCTTCAAAAGAGGCATTGTTTTCCCCATTAAATAGGAGGTGGAAATACTTATAACTCACGAGTCACAAATGACGCCTACGCTTCCACGTGTAAACGTCGTGCCTCTCCCTTCAACGAACCAGAGACAACAACAAAAGAAAATAAATAAAAAGTGGCACTCTTTCTTCTAATACAGTATATTCTGGCGCGGACAAAAGCGGTCGAGACTAGCATTCAACTAAAAAACACGCCCGGCGAACTAAAAGCCCGTAAACATCGCAAAGCCTAGGGAGAAGAACAGGAAGCCGAAAGCCCCCAAACCTCCAACCAAGGGGGGGGCCCAACTCTGAAATTAGGCGGAAGTTTAACCAAACCCCCGACAGGAGGCGGCAAAATCGACTTTTCCACCTCCTCTCCCTCCAATTTGCGCCCCTTCCCACTTCTCAAACAGGAAGAGAGAAGGAAGAGTTTGAGGGAAAGGAGGAAACGCGCTTCCCACCCCTCCGTCGGCTGGCTCGCGCGCGCTCCCGCAAGTCCGTTTCCCCTCCGACAGAACGGCGCAGCCAACTCGACGACGGACCGAGCATTTTAGATGGGGTGGCGCAGGGGTTCGAGCCAGTCGCTCTGACGTTTCCTTCGTGTCCCGGTGTCGAACGTCGAGCGTAATTGGCGCGGGTTTTTTTCGGAGACTGTTTCGAGCTGTGATCGGTTTTGTGAATGGGAAATCGGCCCGGCAAGAAGTGTGGCTGAGAAGCCGGGGGACGCCCGAGAGGCTCGTGTGTGTTTGAGAAGAGGGGCCGGTGTACCGCGTGGATATCTTCTGGTGCGGCGGGTGCGTGTGTGGTTCGACTTCGGCGTGGTCAAGGGCGCGCCCCGCTGCTCTGGTTCCTCTCGTTCTTCTCGACGGGTGAGTGCCATGGCCCTCCCTGCCTCTCTGACAGCGCACGATGATGTGGTGGTGTGCGATTGTGTGTTCCTTTTATAACATGAATCTAGAGTCGATCCTTTCTCGGGGCGAATCAATGACTCTGTTCGAAGGAGAATTTTTATGCGGGATTTTTAACTTTCTTCCGGAACCTCCCGAGTTTCTTACTTTTCTCGATGTCGAATTGGAAGTTTGTTGTCAGAAACCTTGGTATGGTACATTTCTGATGCTGTTATCTATAGCCTACGTTAGTTCGATATTTAATAGGAACATACTGGAAACACGCTGTTCACACGCGCTTCTGTTCACTACGACTCCACATCACACATGAGAGTATACAGAGCCTTTCAACTTGATCATTGAATCTAGCAAATCGTTGTCTTTCATCGATCTCGCCTGTTCTTTACATTTCGTGTTCGTTGAGTCATTCATTAGCTAGCCACGATTTCTACAATTGATTTCGATGGTATCCTCCGTCTAAAGTTAAGGAATTTACTAGTTTTATGCTGCATTAAAGGTATTTAGAAATGACAATCCTTAAAACAAAATATCGAAGAAAGCCTCGAGCAGTTCTTCAGGTTAGCGTGGAAGAAGCCTTTATACTACGTGCGGGAATTTTATCTACGCACAGTAAATAATGTGCCCTCTTTGACACTGCGTAAACAATCTTAGACTCAGTCGTGGACTATCGGTTGGTCCATCTTCTCAGGATAAGAAGCCTCTTTGACGGCTCTCGGGAACCGAGAGAATCAGGAACGCCTCTTTGGGGCGTACGAAATGGATCGCCGGCGCCGTTGCGTCACCCAATTACTCGTTTACGTGTCTCTTCTTTTCACCTTTTAAAAATAGTTTGATTCTCGCCGTTATTATACATCTCCAATCATCGTCAATCAGTTCCGGATGGCCATGTCATTTTTCTTAGAAACGTCAACGGCGTACCCCGTCAGGTTTGTTTACTGCTTGTGGCGGTCATACGCTCGATTAATTGAAGCGCGCCTGACAAGGGCAATGCCTCGGCGAACAACAAGGACTCTTCAGTGTTCGTAATTATAGCGGCGCCCTTCTTGGGGCGAGACCCGGAGTTGTCGATGTTCTCGTGTAACCACGCCTTTCATTTTACGCTTGAGCTGGCTTTTTTTGCAAAGTGTAACAAAACTTTAAAAAGAAAACGCTTACCGATTTTTCCGCCCTTTATGCGAAACATTTTGAAACGATGCACTGTTGTGAACACAATGAGCTCAAGCTGTCCTTTGTGCTTAGCTGCTGGCTTTTCAGAGAGCTGTGGTTAGAACGAGGAAGGGGAGGCGAAGTCGAGTTCCCATACTTTGAACTTATTGACAACTTGAGAGGTAAGAGAGCTGAAGGGAACTGCAGACGCAAAGAAAGGCTGAATAGAGAGTTTTAACTCATATCGTCCGCGGGGGTATCTCGTCTGCGCAGACGCAACTTATGTGCGATCCAGTGTTGGCGGTAACACGTTATTTTTTTTTTTGGTAACGTACTAACGTACTTGTTACTTTTCCAAAACTGTAACAGGTAACGTAGTTACGTTGCTCGTTACATTTTCCCAATACATGAAAAAAGTACACTTACATTTTTTTCATGTTTCTATACTTCGTTTTACCTTAACCCCAGTCGCGGCCGAAACTACGAGTGGATGGAACCAATCAAACAGCGTCAAAAGGGCACTCTCATGGTGTTCGTCATGTTTCTGTACTTGTTCTATCATAGCTGTACCAATCATAAACAGGGGAGGTCCAGTGACTTGCACTTTTTGAGCTGCTCAGGTGGTCCCATTAGCTCCAAGTCGTTCATTTTCGCACTCATTCTGCGCACCTTAAAAGTTTTGCCTGTCTTTTCCCCGCACAAAAAGTCCAACTTTAGAAAGAAAGAAGAAAAACAACGCCCACGCCTTTTGTCTTAATGTCAACAAAACGCTGTTACCGTTAATATATAAATAAAAAGTAACGCAAGAGAAACGTGCGTTACTTTTTATCAGTAAAGGTAACGCGTTCCTTTAATTTTACAAGTAACGAGTAACGTATTTCCTTAATTTTTATCGGTAACGCCTACAACACTGATGTGATCTCACACAATATGCGAATCATCTGTCTGCTTCATAGCGCAGGATTTGCGGGAAATACCTTGTGCGTTCATAGGAATTGTTCCATGCCTTTTCAACAGCGCAACTTTGATGATTTCCTATTTTCAATAAAAAGATGGATGTATCCGTATATCAACTTAAAAATTGGGTATTTACTGACACAGTAAATTATGAATGGCAGGCCTTATGTGGGCTTCTGTATCGTGTATACCAATCCCGATGCGAATCATTTTTATCAGTCTTCAATAAGTTTCCATTGTATGTATACGTTTTGTGATTTCTTCGTTCATCGTTCCTTATTTTTTTTTTTTCGTGTGTGTATACGAACTTATTTAAACATTTTACATAAAAGAGCCAATGTTGTAACACAACGCGCATACGATTTGCGACAATGAGAGCCAGTTTTTTGGCAGGCCGTTGGATGCACCCTGAAGATTGCAGCAAGTCTCTTTTTAGTATAATATACAAGTATCTATTCCATAGTGGCAATTCTTTACATGCATACATTTTGAAAGTCCTAAACAGGCCCCTTCACCTAGATAACAATAAGTTCGATTTTCTTGCCCTCAAAATATGGATCTCATAAAAAGTTATATCGTAACTAAATCACATGTTTGACTAATATCACCTTCTTCAGCGTGTGTTTTCTTTGCTGACTAGCGTCTACGCACTACACTTTTCTATCGATACAGAGTATCGTGTGCGCAAACATATGCCGGTGCTCTTTTCACAAACACGAGAACATCACACCCGGGAACCTTTCTCTAGCCACATTCCCCTGCGTGGCCCTCGACGAACCGGCGAGGTCAGGTCAAGTCATCTTTCATCCCCGAGTTGGCGAGAAATGTTTCGCTCGCTCGCCCACTTTGTCGCCGCCACAAGAGGAGGAGCTCCTCGGATCTTTCATCTCCTCTCTGTTTGGCAGCGAGCGCGAACGGAAAAGAAGCCGGTTGAGTGAAGCCACGTGAACGGACTTTTCGAGGGCCGTACATGTTTACACACGGCTGAGAACAACAGTTGGGACCCTCTGGCTTTCTCTTCTTTCTTTTTTTACTTTTTCATTTTCTCTCGCGGTTTGTTGTGCAGTGTCAGCATAATCTTATCGGCTTCCCCGAAGCGCGACGGCAGCTCTTTTTCCTCTCCCCCACTTCATGGTTGCCTTCCCTATCGTTCGTGCCTCGACGAACAGTAATTCTCGCGGGCGCAGGAATTGTCGTTTGTCAGCTGCCGGGGAGGGCGCTGCAGATACCGCATCCATCCACTTTCTGACTCGCGGATAGGTTATCGTCGGCGGCTGCTTGTTGGCGTTAAACACGCCTGTAGAACTTTATTACACCGATAGTAGGAGTAGTTACCCCGAAATTGAGTAGTGCAAAAACAATACTGAGGGACAGCTCTTAGGGCACGAGAATCAACAATTCTTCACTCACATTTTCAACACATTACATCACGTCATGTTATGCTACTTCCTCAATGTTATGCCATGGTAAGCTTAGCACATTATCTGCTTTCGATGTTTTGGTTAGGCCCCTGTAGTAAAAAAATATATGTAGGAACGACTCGCGATGGTTCATAAGACGCGTGTATAGTATAGTCTTTTTTCCCCCAAAATCAAAGCTGTTCATACTGAAGGTTGTACTCAACCCTGTTTTTTTCTTTATTGGAGCCGTGCAATTAAATCGCTTTACCATATCTCTTTATGTTTTGTTCCCTTGAGCAGACAAAAGCTGTTGTCCCGTATAGTGCGTTGTCGAAGGTAGGAAGCCCACGATGGAAGCGAGGCAGTGAAGGCTCCTCCTGTCATTCGCACCTTGTCACTGACTGAAACACTTTAAGCGGTATCACCTGAGTCGGCAAACACGAGGCAACTTTGTTCATTCTGAATGTTGCTGATATCTAAGCCCTTGACGTGGATCACCTTAAAGGAGCTGTGCAACGATATTCAATTGGAATGTTTTTCACTCTACACGAGCTTACTGGCACACCTGGGACTCAAGGATACTCACACGCAACGCCATTGGCCAATAAACTCCTTTGTTGCGGTGTAATTTCAAGGACAAAAGCGATCATTTTCATTCAATCTCTCCTTTGCAAAATTTGATGACGTTACTCGGGGATCGCGGTACACCCAAGTGACGATATTTGAATGCGGTTCATAGATTGGACCCGAGCATTGCATGGGCACTCGACTTGGGCTCGTGACAATTGCTAGCTCGAGAAGCATTCGGGTTGTGACCCGCGTCCAATCGCTGCAACGACGACAACAGCCGAGCCATAACAATGTCTGGAACTCAGCACGTGTCCTGCGCTTTGCCAACCCCAGCGCGTGGCTATGATCAACACTGGCGACATATAATCGGCTCCAGATCACGTGGCCGCTTGTTCTGGCTGCGAGTTGAGGGGGTGACCGCTGCTCGTTTTTCTTTAATTTTTTTCTGGGACTTCTATTGCGTGGGGTGAAGAACGAACGCGTGTTTCATAGGTCAATAACGTTAGGGATCCGTTTTAAGCGGTATTTGCGCAAAGTACAAAAATTGTTGCATCGCTCCTTTAAGACATAAACGTTCAGCTTGATGTTTAAAGAAGTATGAATACAATATTGAATTCGGCGTTTGGCACTTAAAACAATGGACGAAATGAGCGGCAGACCGTGTTGGCGGCTGCAAGGGTAAAAAGAAAGGCTCCCCTGTTTCTGTATTCTTTATTCTTGCCAAGGCTTACACGAACAAAAGTCGGTTCACGTTTGGCGGTGGAGAACAAGCTGTAAAATCGTATGTGCCCTAAGCGGGCGTTGAGAATGATCGTGTACATCCTCGCACTGAACTTAATAGCTGTACTCTAAAAGTGACCGGTCCTACCATCTGGTGCCTTATGTAAA